AAGACCTAAAGGTAGGAAAAAGAATTCCCATTTACTTCCCAAAGAGAGACCCTTCTTCCTCTCCTCATTTCCTACCCAAAGAGGAATCCGATTCCGTTCCTTTCTCACTAGAACAACTTCCAAATCTTCTTCAAATCTTTTCCTTCCCTCAAGGCTCTCCACATGCCCAAGCCATGGAAAGCACACTTAGACAATGTGAGGTCAAACCCATCAAAGGAGAGTCAAAAACATGTGTCACATCACTAGAATCCATGCTTGATTTCGTACGTGTCATGCTCGGATTAGAGAGCGAATTCAAAGTTGTATCAACTATCCACTTCACATAATCAACCACCATTCTTTAAAATTACACTATCCTAGAAGATACTCTAGAAATTTCTGGTCCCAATAAGATGGTGGCATGTCATACCATGCCTTACCCATATGCGATTTTCTATTGTCATTACCAAGAGAGCGAAAGCAAGGTCTTTAAGGTCTTTTTGGGGGGTGTAAATGGAGACAGGGTTGAAGCGGTTGCTGTTTGCCACATTGATACCTCTCAGTGGAGCCCTGGTCATGTGTCGTTTCAAGTACTGGGAATTGAGCCAGGGTCCTTCCCAGTCTGCCATTTCTTCCCATCTGATAATCTTGTGTGGATTGCATCATCTACTTTAATTAGTTATATGTAGTTTGCATGTAATCACTGAGATCCTTGCACTTTGATTTACAATCGTACTTGTGTGCATGTCCAGTGAAATGAAGATCGTGTTATGCAAGTGTTTTATGATTTAAGAATGTCTGTAATAAAATAATTGGGACCTATGGCAGCTATTTCTGCTTCCATTTTTCTATTTTGTTGCAGTTTCTTAAGCTAATTAGACTTATTCAGCTGGTTCAAGTATTCTAAGGTAGTTCTAAATCATATGGGCATGTTTGGTTGTATTTTCATTTTTTGTATGTGTACTCATTTTCTGAAAAACTGTTTTTGGTTATATAGTCATCCATTTGAGTTGAATATTCCTATATCTAGGCAGAACCATATTCCAAAACGCTTTTTTTTTTTATTTATTATACTAATAGATTGATAATAGCTAGCGTGGTGCTTATGCTGACAGGTTCTTGTATACATAGACTGGTTGCCTTTTGCATTGTTAATGCTGATGTAGTGTAATATATATTCACATCCGTAAAAAATAGTTTGGTTGCTAATTAATTGCTATTTTTGTAAGAAGTTGTCGCCTATCTCTTTCTTTCTGTCTACGTGCACACACGCGGATGCTCAAACACAGGGATAAGATAAGAGGGGAGAAAAACAATGAAATCGTATTGTTGCCTCAATACATTTTTCTGATATTTTTTCGTTAAATCTCTACGAACATCATTTTTTAAACTACAATGAATATCAAAAGCAACAATCTTAACAGCCTCTTCGCATACAGGGGTAGGGATGGCAATGGGGGTTAATGGGGTGGATATTAATTCTCCATCCCCATTCCCCTATAATAAATTTTCCCCATTCCCCATTCTCCATTCCCCATGGGTATCACCCTCTCCATTTCTTAATGGGTATGGATTTTCCCCAACCCACTTTAATCCCTATTTTTTTTATATATATATTTAGGCCAAGTTTGGGAAGACTAAAAAAGTGCACTTTTTGTCTTTTTGGACTAAAAAATTGAGGTTGAAAATATAGATGTTTGGGTTAACTTTTTGACTTTTTATTGAAAAATGTGTAATAAAAAATTGTAAAAATTGATTTGTAGGGAAAAATTTGAATTGGGAGTTGTGCAGCCGTAATTGTTGACTTTTGGTAAATAGTGTTAACTTTTTAGCTTTTTGAGTAACTTTTTGACTTTTTGGCTTTTTTGGATGTTCCCAAACTTGGCCTTAGTGTCGTGTTTAAACATTAGAACTGATAAGTCTCGTTTGGCGTGTAATGACAGTTATGGACACGATGTTGGAGTGTATTGCGAGTCCGGATCTTCTGCCATATTATCCTGCCGTGGTCTCTATCGTGGTCAAAAATGATGTCGTTTTTGACCAAATTTTTTTTTTTTTTCAAGAATATCACATACCCTACCCATGGATAAGAAAAAAAGGGAAAAATCCATGCATTTGGGTTGGTTCTCCATAGATACCCACAGGGTAGGTTATCCATTGCCATCCCTATACAGGGGCAAAACTGCTTATATCTGACCCTTTACAGACCCTTTAGTGGCAGGAGGTTCATGGGCTGCCCCTGTGAAAAATATTTTCCATTGGCAATTCTCACAAGCTTTCAACAGATACCATTACGGACACACAGTTTAAGCAAGACTAAAATGAAGCATACTTAGGTGTCTATTCTAAGCTAGTTTACGATACAAAAAATGCATATATATATGATCTTTCTGCGCTTGATTATACTCGGGAAACTTTATCCGGGGCTTGACAGGTTTAACAGATGATTGAATCATCTCTCCTTGATCTGAATCAATTTCATGTCCCTGCTTCAAGTCCTCCTTGACGATGTGGCTGTGATAAAGTATATGATTAGGCCTAGTATCGAAAGCCTTGTTGAAGTGTTCCATGTTTATGGTCTCAGAAGAAGATGAATCTCCATGGACAAGTTCTTCAATCGCTTTAGGTATGGGCTTGCCTTTCATCATGCTCTTCCAATAGTCTGCTTGATCGTTCCTCGCATTGCTGAAATTGACAAACTGACAAGGAAGAAGAGTGAGTTCATATATCACACATGAATGTACAATCTTTAGAAAATAAATGGTAAGACGATTTACATGTGTACATAAATTAAATTGTTTAGGAATGTTTGTTTACCAAGAAAAGCAACAAAAGGAGGAAGAAGGCAGAAGGAGTTCTCATGTCTGCACTTGATGGAAAAGTAAAATTCGAGGTTACAACTTTATTTTCTTGACTCCTAGACCTCTGACTTGGTATTTATAGACTATTTCAATGGGAGTTACAAAACACGAAAGATAAAAAAAACTCATTTGAAAACTCAAAGCAAACAGAGGTACAAAATCTACACTACTGTTCTGAGTATCTTTTAGATACATAGCATCTCTGTATTAGTACAAAACTAAATTATTGAGAGAGAGAGAGAGAGAGAGAGAGAGAATGGTTTGATTCCATTAGGGGTGGGATCTGGGCAAACATGTGATGCTTACTCATTTTATTCTTGGTAGAAGTGGCAGATAACTTTGACCCAATTTCACCTGTTTTAGATGACTACTTCACCTTGGCATGAACATTTTAGAAAGAAATGTAGTGTACACCAATCAAAGGGCAGTTGATTAAAATAATGGTTAATTACACGAAAATCCCTCTCAACTATTAATAAATATTACTTTACCCCTCCTTTATAAATTTATACATATTGACACCTTTTTAACTTTGAAAACCTTACAAATACACTCCTTTTGGAGGTGATTTGGGTGATTTGAAAGGGATGAAAGTGTTACATTTTCATGATTGAATGAATGGGTCAAAATGTATGGATTTATAGATGAGGGGTAGTGATATTACCTAATTGTTAAGGGGTGTTAGTGTAATTAACCCTTAAAATAATCTAGTAATAAAGTCAACTCTTGAAGAGACCCCCATTTTGAGGACCATCTGTCCTTGTATTCAGAATGCAAGGCATCTGGGGATGATGATGAGCTTTAAGGACTTCCTCTCACAATGTTATTTTTTTTAAATGACAGCATATGCTAATCCAAGCAAGATTAGAAGCATCTTGAGTTATAATATGGGGATGATGATGAGCTTTAAGGACTTCCTCTCATAATGTTATTTTTTTTAAATGACAGCATATGCTAGATGTTGTTCATGTCCGTGATCATGTTGAGAAATTCAGTAATGAGATAACAATCTTGTTCAGTAGCATTTCAAAGTTTTATTTTTTATTTTTTCAAAGCAGAGCAAGAACATAATACATTCATTATTAGACTAAGGGGACTTCATCTCTAATCTAGAGCGTTGACTCCCCTTTATGATCACATATTGTAAGTTTTTTTATTTTTTATTTTTAGAGGATATGTATGTGGCACCTCAATTGTTGATTCTGAAACATTTTTCGAACTTACTATATATATGGGGTAGGTTTGTTATGGTCCTATATTATTTATATTGTTAGATCATTCATGTAGTCAAAATGATTGAATTCTATAACCTAATCAAGAAATAATTAATTGCACTTCCTAGATGAATCTATTGGTAAATGTCAACCAATCAAGGCATGGAAGAAGTATGTCTGACCAATCTACAGTTGAATACCATCTGACTAGCAAGTGGGTATGCAATATATATATATATACACACAAATATACAGTGCTCTAGCAGTGGGAGGGGACAAAATATGTATAATTTTTTATTCTTTAAAAAAAAAAAGTGGCTCTTATTCCTTCATGCGAAGTATCTTTCTATTGCAATGAAGTTTTTTAATGTCTTTGAAGAATCAAAGTTTTGTAAACCTTTTGGTTTGTACCTGTAGAAGTGTACAGAACATGATCATCAAACTGCCTTAAATTTTTGAAAAATAGAATTTTAATTATGGGCTAGAAGACAGAATATGTAACCTTAGTAGTTGAAGAAATTTTTATTGAGGCATTGCTCTCACACAACCTGTACTGTTCTATTGCATTGCAAGTTGCAAGAAATGTTTGACTTAAAAAGATGTACTTTATACCCAAGTCATAGCCAAAAAAATAATAATAATAATAATTGAAATAGGGGATATATTTTACTTAAAATTTTTAGTTCATATTTATAGTTTTTTGTATGTCATTGTGAGTCCCATCAAATTTTAAATATAATAAGTCTTATATGAACACATATAATGATGTAGATAAACTAAGATCTAAAATAAAATCATCAAATACATCTGGTGACAAATATTATTTTATGTGTTGTCTAGAGTTTATCTTCTCAATTTTCATGTGCTTATTCAATCATTTTGTACCCATGATTAATGATGAACTCCAAATGCAAATCAAGAATCAAATTGACAGATAGAAGACAAATGGGGCTAGAGAGAGAAACCAAGTTCTACTCCAATCACAATGTATATTCTTTATTCCAAAAACTCAGTACAAATGGGTATTACACCTCTTATTTATAGACTTCAACTAATAGGCTATTTAATACACTTAACCTAACTATATTCTACTACATCAGACTCTCCCTCTTTTAAGAAACTTGTCCTCAAGTTTAAGTAGCAACAAAGTGTGCTCAATGTAACAACATGCATTGAATCTGAGGCGAGGAATAGACCTGCATCTCCATGCTCAACACAAACATATCTCTCTCAACTCATCCTTCCTTGAACACAGGTAACTACATCCTTAGCTAAACAGCCATAGGTGCAGACTGATAACCTCCATCATGTGTCCATACACTCTTGCTAAAGCTTGGACAAATCTCCATTTTCTTGAGCCTTCATCTCTAATTGGCACACTGGTGCAGAGACATACTCATTCAATCGGAATGAGACCAACAGATTGGCAAAAGGATAGTTTCCAAAGCCACGGTGAAGAGTGAGACAAAAGATGAAAGGATCGACTATGCATCCGCTAGGTAAGAACCATGTATGAGAAGCTAATCACGAGCGAGAATACTGCAATGCATTATTCCTTCTGTCCCTTAGACACAACCGGCAAGTTAGCATCACTTCCTGTAACTAAGTCACATAAAGTTTTATTATTAAAGGTGACGTGAATAGAGTTTTTGGAACTCTATAAGATAGAGAATTCTAAACATAGTGCTCTATGTAGCCTAGTTGAGAATGGAAAGAAATTTCCAATATCCTAGGGACAGTGGGAGCGATGTGCCTACTAATGGATTACTCCATTAGAGAAGAATACTCTACATTCTTAGTTGCGTGGTAGCAAATGTAAAAATTTTCCTCGTCATCACTGGGTGATTAAGAGAGAAACATTCACGATTGCTCCGCAAGATGATAAGAGCCTAGGATAATGCCAAAGGCTCTAGTCCCCTATTTTTAATAAGTGGATCAATGTTGCGCGATTAAGACAAAGTCTTTGAGGATTAATCATTTCTATAATTTGGTTGACTTTCCATTATGACGCAAAACTGTTTTAAATTTATGCGTAATTTGGATAGTCATTGTTGAGGCATAAGGCTCGCTAGATACCGAAAAGTCGCACCATTGAGGAAAGTGTAGACCATGAGAAGACTTCCTCCTAGGGAGTGAAGTTATTTTGACTTAGGCTATGATTGACATAAGTTCGGAACATTGATTTGTGGACATTGTGACCAGATTTCTCGTTAGAGAATTGGATAAGTATATCCGTAGGGATTTACCTTCTGCTTTTATGGTGAAAAGTTAGGAGAGCAAAAAGGTTGCTAGTTCCAATAAATCTTTTACAGCTAAAACAGTTATCCAAATAGTGGTTCTTAGATTTCGTCAAGCCATGATAGGCAAACGATGATCGATGAAGACCACTGAGGCATGATCAATGGTCCAAAAGAAGTTTTTCCTTACTTAGTCATTATGAGCCAGGAATTTATAAGGTTGTCGCCACCTAGGATGGGCAGTCCTCTATTTTAGATATGATGGACATGGGTGATGTAATTTATATGCTCGGATGTACGATCCTTAGGGATTGTTTTAGGAAAATTCTCGGTTTGTCTTCCATGACTTACATAAGGAATATTCTAGAACGATTCTAGATGCAAAATTGCAAACCCATTGACTTACCTATCGGTAAAAACCAGAGCCTTAGCTATTGAGTGAATCCTCGGATTGTCTTTGGGAGGAACAGATGACCTATATTCCTTGATCTTTTCTTTGTTGTGGGAGCCTAAAGTACGCTATGTGGGCGTATTCGGCATGATAAGTGTTATCTTTGGTAAATGGTCAACTGAGTTGTTTAGACATTGACCTTGCTCATTAGACTGTGGATAAAATGCTTTACTAGTAGTATATTAATTTGCTCATTGTAAGATTCAATGCGCTAGTTGGGCGCATCTGCGCTAGTTGGGCGCATTAAGAATGAACGCAAATTGGTCACCAAAATATCTTTAGAGAGGTAATTGCGCAAGAGGTAGTGATCTTAAATCACTTCATGTGAGGCGCACATAAAGAATGCAGGGACAACTTACCAGAGATTGGTTACTGCCATGTTCAAGGAACAGCTCGACCGCACCGTGGAAGTATACATCGATGACATGGTGGTCAAATCCAAGGAAAAGCACGCCCATTTAGCCGATTTGGCAGATACATTCAGCATTCTTCGAAAGTACAAAATGAAATTGAACGCCTCAAAGTGTGCATTCGGCATCGGATCCGGCAAATTCCTCGACTACATTGTTAACCACCACGGAATAGAGGCCAACCCAAGGCAGATCACAGCAATTCTAGAACTTGGTTCTCCTTGGTCGGTTAAAGAGGTTCAAAAGCTTATGGGAATGGCCGCCGCGCTCAATAGGTTTATTACCCGTTCCACAGAGCGCTGCCGACAATTCTTTCACACACTTCGGCAAGGCAAAGCTTTTGAATGGACTCCCAAGTGTCAGGCCGCTTTGGACGGCTTGAAAACGTATCTCCGATCAGTACCACTCTTGGCAACCCCCTCGGCAGGCGACCCACTCATTTTGTATCTGGTGGTATCTGACTGGGTGGTCAGCGCCGAACTTTTAAGGGAGGAACTCGAGGAGCAATGACCAGTTTACTATGTAAGCAAAGCAATGACTAACGCCAAAACACGTTATCTACCACTAGAAAAGCTCATCCTTGCTCTCGTTATGGCTACAAGAAAACTGATGCATTACTTTCAGGGGCATACCATAGGTGTACTAACGGACTATCCCCTCCGGTCGGTGCTCTGTAGCGCGGAAGCATCAAGGCACATTTCGAAATGGGCTTTGAAACTCAGCCAGTATGATATCCAATTTTTGCCTAGAGCTACCATCAAGGGGCAAGTGCTTGCTGACTTTTTAGCCGAATTCACGAGATGCCTTGCCAACTTCAAGTCCAAGCAAGTGCAACCTAAAGAATATATGTTGGAGACATTTGGTAGTTGTACTGTGACAGGTCATCTAGCCAACGTGGCTGGCAGTGGGGCAAGCGTAGTAATCATGATCGCCGAAGGAGCAATAATTGAGAAGGCGGTTAAACTGGGCTTTGATGCATCAAATAATGAGGTCGAAAACGAAGAATTGCTAACCGGCCATCGGAACGCACTTCACTTCGATGCATAGCGATTCCTTGTTTTCTGTGACTCAAAACTAGTCATCAACTAGTTGAAAGGGGATTATGCAACTAAAAATGACCGCATGGTAGCCTACATGAAAACGACGAATTCCTTGCTCACGAAATTTGACCACCACGAATTAAATCAAATAACCTGGGATCAGAACAAGCACACAGATGTCCTTGCTTGCCTAGCCTCTGCCATTAACTCAGAAGTCAAATGAACAATCAAAGTAGGATTCATCCTAGAGCCAAGCGTCACCTCTTCTGAACTAGTTCAGATTAACATCATTGAACTAGGACCAAGTTGGATGGACCCTATCGTTGCATTCTGTTAGTAATGGGCGCCCATGTGGCATGACCATTTGTATTTGAATTTGAATCTTATCCAAATAGGTTTTGAAATTGAATTCAAACCTATTTAGGATAACCACTCAGGATACAAATATTATCTCTATTAACTGATATGGATAGATAATAATAACATATTATATATCTGGTATGTGGGTTATGAGTGAAAAAGAGAGAAACAACGTATGATCTGAGTTTTACCTATATACTGATTATCTCCCAAAAAACAACGATCAAGTCATTTGCACTGTGATTTGTGTGGGTGATAATATCACTTCACTGCTGGGTTGGTTTATCAGATTCTGAAAACACGTAATTTACACACGAGGTTCTATCATCTAAAGGTATGATATAAATATTTTATCCGCTGCATTTTTTATACTTTATTTACACTTCCATCGTCATACTCAACTCAAGCCAATGTCCAAAGGAGGCATGTAGAAGTAGGAAACACTTACCACTTCAAATAATCTCTTTGAAGCCTTCAAAAATTTCAATGGCGGCTTGTAATGTGACAAGTCATCCACCCATCTGCTTCAACTCATCTCATTGATTATGACTTCGATTTGGAGTAGCATCATGGCTTCCTTCTAATTGAGAGATTCATCATAGTATATTCACCCAAATTTGCAACATAACCTCTATTGCGTCTATCTCTACAATCTCGATCTCGACACTGATACAAAATTATAACTCACAATACAACACTTAGCAGATCCAAGACAACAAACCATCAGTAAGCCCATTGATTGAAATCCAAGCTTGTCGCCAAGCCTCGAAGACAATATTGGAAATAAGATCAAAAGTCGGAGAGCAGATTCAATTCGCAGAATTCAAGCAATGGACTAAACTCAAGACACCTCAAATCTGTTGACAAGATCACAAATCCAATCACCACTGCTAGGGCTTTGTGAAATCCCAATCACGATTGTTAAATTGACTGAAAACACTCTATTTCAGTTCGCCAAGGCGAAGCACAGGTGAGATCAAAGTCGCGAATCTTCAGCGTAGGCTCCATCTGTCGGATCTGAACCAGGAACTTTGAATCGAGTTCAGTTCTTAACCAATGATCAAGCTCGCATTTGAATAGGAGCTTGAGATGAGTTCGGATCTGAAAAAAAGGAACTTCCAAATGAATTTGTATCTCGACCAGGGAGTCAGATCTCAATGATCGATCGTGGTTGGCTAGGGCTTCTATAAACTAGAAGATCACGAATCGACTTCATACTTCAAAGCGATTAGATCACAATGGTCGTCTCCTGGGCTCCTGATAGATCCAATCAAGTTAGGGCTTCGAACTGGCGTCGAACTCGAATCTCGAATGAAGGCTTCAATTTCCTGACAGATTTGAATCAAATTCAAGGCTTCGCAGGAGATCACTAACCAGCTAGGGTTCATATGGTTGATTCAACGATTGCAACACGAGATTCAACCCAGAGTAGAAGGTTGAACTGCAATTAAACTTAGATTTGAAGTTGTGGAGATGCGATTTCACTTTGAGTCTCGATGTGATTTCTCAAGTCGATTTCATAGATTGACTGGCGATGTGTTCGCTATTGAGAATGGAGGTTGACTTCGCAGATTCTTGGTTCACTTCGAACGAAATTTGAGATCTCTAGCTGCTGCGACTGAGATTTTTTGTGGGCAACTGACTCAAGCCAGTTTCTAGGTAATGAATCTTGAAAATTTAGAAGGTTGCGATCCAAACTCTTTGCTCTGATACCAAATGATGAACTCCAAATGCAAATCAAGAATCAAATTGAGAGATACGGGCTAGATTGAGAAACAAAGTTTTACTCCAATTACAATGTATATTTTTTATTCTAAAAATTAAGTACAAATGTGTATTACATTCCCTACTTATAAACTACAATTAATAGGCTATTTAATACACTTAACCTAACTATATTCTACTACATCAATTATTAATATAGCTTTGTCAATTTTCAAAACCAGAAGAATGAATAGCTTTTGACTTCTTAAAATTGGATTTGTATAATGAGCTAGGCTACAAATTCAAATAGAAGAAGCTTTTTCAAGATTAGTGTGCATGAAAGGGACTAAAGTCGGAAAAAAAAAAAAAAAAGGATATAGAAAAAGCTGCATTAGCTTGTGCTATATATGGAGAGCTAGGTCATCCTTAGGTTTCGGTGTTTGACTTCTTAGCAATAGATTTTATCAATGACCTAAGCTACAATTTTCAATAGGAGAAGATTAGTGTACATGAAAGGGACTTAAGTAATAAGAGGGGGAAAAAAAAAAAAAAAAACTAAGGAAAGAGAATAGCAAAATATGCATCAGTTTGTGCTATAAATGGAGAGTTTTGTTAGGTGATAAATTATTTAGTGGTTCATATGCAGTAGATAGTCCTTCACATCATTCAGCAAATGCTACATAACTCTATGTAGATGACACTCACTATTAGAGCCCACAAAGTGATACGACCACTGTGAAGATGTTGAGATGTCTATTTGTGATTAGCATAGCGCTATGTACAATGCTCTAGAGCACCAAGTTAATTTTTGGGTTAGGCTCTGTTACTTGGTAAGAGCAACTTAACAAATTTTGGTTTCACCTCCTATCTTGAAATGGGCAAATAATTAGAGGATTGGTCAGTTTATGACTTAGTCCAATCCCTTTTGTTTCAGAGACAGAAGAAGATCAAAAGAAAGAGAAGAGATGGGTTCTAGGTTTGCTTCTTGCGGATTCATCTTTTATGTTCTGCTTGTTTCTCAGGTAATAATGGCCCTTCCATTTTTCTGATTGTTTTAGCTTAATTTCAGCTGTTTCTTTTCTTCTTTTTTTTTTTTTTTTTTTTTCCTGCTTTGTTTGTTTGTTTGTTTTTTTTTTGTTTTTGTATGTTGTTTTTCTGTTTGTTGCTTTGTGTTTTCTTCTTCCCCTCTTTCTTGTTGGATGAACAAAAACAGAAACACACACAAAAAAAATTAATTGAATTTAAAAAAATGTACACTTTCCATGATATACCATTCATCTATCAATCATTCAATTGTACATAATTTTGAAAAAATGTTCTTGTATTTCTCTAGTCTCTCAGCTAAGCTCATGCTCATTGGAAATTTCTAAATTTTTCTCCAAAATCAAGCAAGTTCTATATCTTGTCGTGGATGGTTTAGTATTTTTACAAAAATGCTATGCTTCCATGAAAAAATAACTAGAAAAGTACTCAAAATTTGAATCTGTACCTCTATGGTGTGCTGTGGATCATACACAGAATAAATTTGATCCACGCATTTCAAATTTGGACACTTTTCGGTTCATTTATTCTAACTACGTATCATTGTTGGTGTTTTTAGTATAAATTTTTCTAAGGTTAATTTGAAAACTATAATTTGTTTTTCTTTGAAACTAATTCTTCTATGATTTTAATCACAGTGCACCCACACCAATTGCATCAGAGAGATTACAGAGAAAACCTAGAAAGATGCTAACAAAGAGGCATCTGATTTGCAACAAACTGCCATTGATGATGATCTTCAAATTTTCTTCACTGTTGACAATCTAAAAGTTGGGAAAACAGTTTCCATCTATTTCCTCATCAAAGACCCTTCAACCACCCCTCACATACTCACTAGAGAAGAAGCCAATTCAATCCCTTCCTCATCATCAAAACTTCCACAGATTCTTGACTTTTTCTCATTCTCCAAACACTCCCCACAGGCCAAAGCAATGCAATACACACCCTCTCAATGTGAGCTTGAACCCTTAAAAGGAGAGACTAAATTTTGTGCTACCTCCTTAGAATTCATGCTTGACTCGGCTCGTGGCGTGTATATTGACCCCGGTCTTTTCCCATTTGATTATTGTATCCGGACTTAGGTTCCGTAGATTTTGTCATTGTATAATTGTTGTTGTCGTTCTTTATTTTCTCATTTGGAGTTATAGGATGTGTTGGGCAGGTTTGTTTCAGGTTGGTTGGGTTCGGAAACCAAGTGTTGCTGTCCAGTTTTTGGGTTGGTCGCTCGAGCGAGGGCTTGGTCGCTCGAGCGATGGTTGTATTTTGTGTCTGGTGGCTCGATCCAGCTTTTCTTCGACCGAGCGAGCGATTGCGTCTAGTATAGACCGGAGAGCAGTGTTTCTTCGCTCGAACGAGCGAGGTGTTTGTTTTTTCGAGTTCCTCGCTCGAGCGAGAATTCTGTCGCTCGAGCGTGCTCCTGGGTTGCAGACCTGAAGCATTGCATTCTTGACTCGAGCGAGATTTTCTTTGCTCGAGTGAGGTTTTCGTGTGTCTGGTCGCTCGAGCGACCAAGTGTTCGCTCGAGCGAGCCTGTCAGGTTTATATACGCAGCAGCGGTTTTTAAAACATTTTTTCACATCATTTTGATCCTAAAACCCTAGTTCCGAGTTCTCTCTCCCTCTACTCACCTTCTCTCTTAGGTTTCATCACCTTTTAGGGTGTTTCTACCCTAGTTGCTTTATTAAAAAGATAGAGTGAGTCGAGGAGCTTCGTTTTAATCTGAGAGTTTGTAGTTTTGGAGCACTTGGGTTTTTGGGTCATCATCTCCGTCTTCTCCATTCAGGTTATTTTCTTCGAGGTAGGGATTTCCTACTCCACCTTATAAGTTTTGTTCTAAGTTTTAGTATTTTGATATGTTGGGGTACTTTGGTAATTTTGGGAAAAACCCTAGTTGTAATAATAA